AGAAACGAGAGAAGGAAGGAGAAAGGAAGGGATGGGATGGTAAGGAAGAAAGGAACGGATGGAGGAAAGAAGAGAGGGAAGGATGGGAAGAAGGAATTTAGAAGAGAAAGGAAAGGAAGGAAGTAAGGAAAGGAAGGCATGAAAGGAAAGAAGAATAAAAAGGTGGGAATAAAAGAAGGAAGAAAGAAAGGAAGGAAGGAAGGAAGGAAGGAAGGAAGGAAGGAAGGAAGGAAGGAAGGAAGGAGGAAGGAAGGAGAAGTGAGAGGAGATATGATAGCCATGTATAAATATGTGAGAGGAAGCCACAGGGAGGAGGGGGCAAGCTTCCTTTCTGCTTCCTTGGAGACTAGGACGCAATGGAGCCATGGCTTCAAACTACAAGAGAGGAGATTCCACCTGAACATGAGGAAGAACTTCCTGACTGTGAGAGCCGTTCAGCAGTGGAACTCTCTGCCCCGGAGTGTGGTGGAGGCTCCTTCTTTGGAGGCTTTTAAGCAGAGGCTGGATGGCCATCTGTCAGGGGTGCTTTGAATGCAATATTCCTGCTTCTTGGCAGAATGGGGTTGGACTGGATGATGGCCCAGGAGGTCTCTAAGTAAGCAAGTAAGTAGTCTTAGTTAGGTCTGACTTTGAGAGCCATTCAGCTAGTGGAACTCTCTGCCCTGGAGTGTGGTGGAGGCTCCTTCTTTGGAGGCTTTCAAGCAGAGGCTGGATGACCATCTGTCGGGGGTGCTTCGAATGCAATATTCCTGCTTCTTAGAAGAATGGGGTTGGACTGGATGATGGCCCAGGAGGTCTCTAAGTAAGCAAGTAAGTAGTCTTAGTTAGGTCTGACTGTGAGAGCCGTTCAGCTGTGGAACTCTCTGCCCCGGAGTGTGGTGGAGGCTCCTTCTTTGGAGGCTTTCAAGCAGAGGCTGGATGACCATCTGTCGGGGGTGCTTCGAATGCAATATTCCTGCTTCTTGGCAGAATGGGGTTGGACTGGATGATGGCCCAGGAGGTCTCTAAGTAAGCAAGTAAGTAGCCTTAGTTAGGCCTGACTGTGAGAGCCGTTCAGCAGTGGAACTCTCTGCCCCGGAGTGTGGTGGAGGCTCCTTCTTTGGAGGCTTTTAAGCAGAGCCTGGATGGCCATCTGTCAGGGGTTTGAATGCAATATTCCTGCTTCTTGGCCGAATGGGGTTGGACTGGATGATAGCCCAGGAGGTCTCTTCCAACTCTTTGATTCGATGATTCTATGAAACCCAAAGACAACACAGAGCTGCCTGGGGTCAGAAAGGGCATTCTGGGGAAAGGGCAGAAAGGGCCGCTGGCCGGTCATCAAGGCTTCCGGCAGGAAAAACCTATTAATAAGGGCATAAATAAATAAAATAGCCTGGCTGGCAATAGGCTTCTAGAGGCTGGTGATGTATTCTGCCTCTCTCTTTCGCAACGCTGTGCTAAAGAGGTGCATCCGAGCAGCAGTGTTGCAAACTTCCTTCCCTCTGCTGACAAGATTCATAATATTGTGAGTCAGGCGCATACGCAATCCTTGGACTTGTCTCCCATTTAAGTTGTAGTAAATGATTCCAAGCCTATTATGTTTTAAATCAGGCATGGGCAAACTTTGCCACTCCCTCCAGGCGTTTTGGACTTCAACTCCCACAATTCCTAACAGCCGGTGTCCCTTGGAACATGGATTCCAGCACATCTGCCACACGTTCATTTCTGCTATAAATATGTACAAAACCTGGTAAGATGTGAACAACAGATATAGCCAGAGAGAAGAGGAGTCCATGCTGCTGCTAGTCCTGCTGTAGGCTGACCAAGACTTAACTCTTTTATACCATTTCAGCCTGCTGGCCTTAGCAAACTATAGATTACCAGACTAGGGATTCTTCTTCTGGGGAGGATTCAAAACAACCTATAACTTTGGTTAATAGAGTTAAAGCTTCCACCACACTCCAAGTTAGAGAGTTCTTCCTAACTGTAAGAAGAAGAATAAAATCCTAGAATCAAAGAGTTGGAAGAGACCTCCTGGGCCATCATCCACTCCAACCCCATTCTGCCAAGAGGCAGGAATATTGCATTCAAAGCACCCCTGACAGATAGCCATCCAGCCTCTACTTCAAAGCCTCCAAAGAAGGAGCCTCCACCACACTCTGGGGCAGAGAGTTCCACTGCTGAACGGCTCTCACAATCAGGAAGTTATAGAATCCTAGAATCAAAGAGTTGGAAGAGACCTCCTGGGCCATCCAGTCCACCCCCATTCTGCCAAGAAGCAGGAATATTGCATTCAAAGCACCCCTGACAGATGGCCATCCAGCCTCTGTTTCAAAGCTTCCAAAGAAGGAGCCTCCTCCACACTCCCTCTGGGGCAGAGAGTTCCACTGCTGAACGGCTTTCACAGTCAGAAGTTCTTCCTCATGTTCAGATGGATTCTCCTCTCTTGTAGTTTGAAGCCATTGTCCCATTGCGTCCTAGTCTCCAAGGAAGCAGAAAGGAAGCTCACTGCCTCCTCCTCCCTGTGGCTTCCTCTCACATATTTATACATGGCTATCATATCTCCTCTCAGCCTTCTCTTCTTCAAGCTAAACATGCCCAGCTCCTTAAGCCGCTCCTCATCGGGCTTGTTCTCCAGACCCTTGATCATTTGAGTCGCCCTCCTCTGGACGCATTCCAGCTTGTCAATATCTCTCTTCAGTTGTGGTGCCCAGAATTGGACACAATATTCCAGGTGTTGTCTCACCAAAGCGGAATAGAGCATGGGGAGCATGACTTCCCTGGATCTAGACACTAGACTCCTCTTCGTGCAGGCCAAAATCCCATTGGCTTTTTTTGCCGCCACATCACATTGTTGGCTCATGTTTAACTTGTCCACGAGGACGCCAAGATCTTTTTCACAGAGCTGTTCAGCTGTGGAACTCTCTGCCTCAGAGTCCAGTGGAAGCTCCTCCTTGGAGGCTTTTAAACAGAGGCTAGTTGGCCATCTGTCAGGGATGCTTTGATTGTGCTTTCCCTGCATGGCAGGGGGTTGGACTGGATGGCCCATGGGATGTCTTCCAACTCCATTGTTCTAGGAGTCTATGATCCAGGTGGCCTTGGCCTATATTAACCCCACTCAGGTCCAGTCATCAATTAATGACCACAGACCTGACAGGCTGGACCTTTGCACCAACTGGCCTGTGTGGATATGCCGAAAGCGTGTGATGCCCTTTGCAGAAGCTTGCAGCCAGGATCCTTGTCCAGGTTTGGAGGGACCTTGGCATGCAGTTTGGGATGTCCTGCCAGCGGATGAAGGGAGGACACTGCGTCTCGGGACAGTCGGTCCAGCACAGACTCTGGGAGGAAATGTCTCCTTTTGCAATGGTGGAACTGGGAAACATTGTTCCATTTTTGGCTCTCTGTAGTTTGAATTGGTTGTTATGTGTTCATCACCTCAGGAGCCTTTCTGGACTGGGCAGCAATACAGACATGCGTGAAATGAACAATAGCATTTTGGAAACTTTCTAAGTGGAGTCAGCTTTGCTTGGTCTTTGTATGGGAGCGCCTTGGTGTGCTGGTTTTGACCTACAAAACCTTTTACGGCTCCAGCTCCGAACGTACCTGTCCGAACGCATCTCCCTCTACGTCCCACCTCGAAGTTTAAGATCTTCTGGGGAAGCCCTGCTCTCGGCCCCGCCTTTATCACGAGTGAGACTGGTGGGGACGAGGGACAGGGCCTTCTCGGTGGTGGCCCCTCACCTGTGGAATGCGCTCCCCGGGGAAATTAGGTCATCAACATCCCTCCTCTCTTTCAGAAGGAAGCTGAAGACATGGATATGGGACCAAGCCTTTGGGTAAGCTGGCAGGTGGATAAAAGACAATGACAACGAGAGTAGGAAAGGACAATGACAATGCTGGATGGATTATGGATTTATGAATTGGCGAACGTTGACCACAAGAGGATTTTATTGCTGCTGTTGTTTTACTTTGACTGTTTTAATTAGTTATAACTGTCATAGAATCATAGAATCAAAGAGTTGGAAGAGACCTCATGGGCCATCCAGTCCAACCCCATCTGCCAAGAAGCAGGAATATTGCATTCAAATCACCCCTGACAGATGGCCATCCAGCCTCTGTTTAAAAGCTTCCAAAGAAGGAGCCTCCACCACACTCCTGGGACAGAGAGTTCCACTGCTGAACGGCTCTCACAGTCAGGAAGTTCTTCCTCATGTTCAGATGGAATCTCCTCTCTTGTAGTTTGAAGCCATTGTTCCGCGTCCTAGTCTCCAGAAGCAGAAAACAAGCTTGCTCCCTCCTCCCTGTGGCTTCCTCTCACATATTTATACCTGGCTATCATATCCCCTCTCAGCCTTCTCTTCTTCAGGCTAAACATGCCCAGCTCCTTAAGCCGCTCCTCATAGGGCTTGTTCTCCAGACCTTTTATCATTTTAGTCGCTCTCCTCTGGACACATTCCAGCTTCTCAATATCTCTCTTGAATTGTGGTGCCCAGAACTGGACACAACTGTCGTCGTTATATTGTAAATTGTATATTGTATTTTGTGAATTGTTGGGCATCAAATTGTGCCTTTTGTAAGCCGCCCTGAGTCCCCCCGAGGGGGTTGAGATGGGCGGGGTAGAAGAACCCCAAATAAATAAATAAATAAATAGGTTTAGCGTAGCACAGATTAGCTGCCCTTCTTGAAGATTGGGACCGCATTGGCCCTCCTCCAATCTGCTGGAACTTCTCCCATTCTCCGAGAACTCTCAAAGATGATTGCCAATGGTTCCAGGTCACTCCCTCTCAATTTATTGCAGTCTAAATTCCATATCACGTTCCTCCGTTCTTGGATGATAAGCCTTCTTCCTTGTGCCATTCCTCATGGATCCTGTTGGCATCCGTTGGTTGGCTCATCCCTGTTTCCAGCCGCAAAGGTCACTTCACAAGGCAGGCTTTGTGCTTTGTTCCCTGCTGAGCGCCAGGAGTTCAGTTGCTCAGGTTCTCTTGAGAGGGGATATAAAGAGAGAAGGTGAGCAGAGCTGGAGCTTCACTGGTCCTGCCTCGCCATGAAGTCCTCAACCAGCTTCATCCTCCTCCTCCTCACTCTCCTGGCCTTCTCTGCTGTGACGCACGCTGCATCTGGGAAAGGTGAGTGGTCCCTGGGAATCCCCTTGAAGGAACCTCTGGATGGCCTGCATCAAGAGGAGCCTAGTGTCTAGATCTAGGGAAGTCATGCTCCCCATGCTCTATTCCGCTTTGGTTAGACCACTTAAGCTGGAATATTGTGTCCAATTCTGGGCACCACAATTCAAGAGAGATATTGACAAGTTGGAATGTGTCCAGAGGAGGGCGACTCAAATGATCAAGGGTCTGCAGAACAAGCCCCTTGATGCAGGCCAAAATCCCACTGGCTTTTTTTGCCGCCACATCACATTCCTGGCTCATGTTCCCCTTCCTCCCCACGAGGACTCCAAGATCTTTTCCACACGTCCTGCTTTCGAGCCAGGCCTCATCGTCCCCCATTCTGTATCTTTGCATTTCGTTTTTTCTGCCAAAGTGGAGTATCTTGCATTTGTCACTGTTGAACTTCATTGTGTGGGCCCAGGACGGAACCCTGCTTGCAGCACTCCGCTCGTCCCTTCTTTCCAGGATGAAGAGGAAGCCTTGGGGAGAATCACCCTCTGGGTTCGTCCATTTAACCAATTACAGATCCACCTCACTGTAGTTTTGCCTCACCCACATTGGACTAGTTTCCTTGCCAGAAGGTCGTGGGGACCTTGTCAAAGAAGGCCTTCCTGAAATCCAGACACGCTCCATCCACGGCATCATTCCCCGCATCTACCCAGCTTGTAACTCTATCGAAAAAAGAGATCAGATGAGTCTGGCATGACTTGTTTTTGATAAATCCATGTTGACTATTAGCGATGACTGCATTTGTTTCTAAGTGTTTGCAGACCGCTTCCTTAACAATCTTTTCCAGAATCTTGCCCGGTATCGACGTGAGGCTGACCGGACATCGGTAGTTGTTTGGGTCATCCTTTTTTCCCTTCTTGAAGATTGGGACCACATTGTCCCTCCTCCAATCTGCTGGAACTTCTCCCATTCTCCAAGAACTCTCAAAGATGGTTGCCAATGGTTCCGAAATGACTTTCGCTAGGAATGGGGTTCCTTTCATTGACTTTCCTCCATTTACAGTTAAAATGTTCCTGGCATACCTGAGAATGGCCTCTTCCCCTAAACAATCCTTTCTCCCAGATAATTCTCCCTTCTCCCAAAGGTGCCTCCTTCCTTCCAGTGGAAAGTCCCCTGCTCGCCAGGAATTGCAGCTGGCTTGTCTGACTCTATTCAATGGCAACACTCCACTGCCCTCTTCTGGTTTGTTCTGAGCACTGCAAAGGGAGCTTGTTCTAAAAGTCTGGCAACAATCAAAATGAGAGGGTATTCTTATCTCAAACCACAAGCAGTATTTTAAGTAGGATCATGAAGGCCTTATGTGCCAATGTTGGCCCAGATCCATCTAGCCACAGAGTAGTCTTTGGAGAGCAAACAAACACGCATGCATGCCTATGTTCACTTTTATGAGGATAGATATGAACAGAGTATGAGAAAAGATAGGGAAGTTGCTCAGTGTGGCTGACCCAATCCAGCTCCATTCAAGGATTCCTGGGAAAGAGAATATCCCTACTGAAGGAAACTAGGGCAAAGTTGGCGATGGGAAAAAATGCCAGCCAAAATGAGGAAAAGCTGGAGAGAGGAAGGGATGGGTCTTGAAATGGAAATTTACTAGCCGGAACAGGGAGCTCAGGCAAGGGGAAACTTCAAAAGGTGTTGAATACTGACAAGAGGGAACAAAAGATAGAGATTGGGATGAGGCCTGTGCACAGGCTCAAAGAATGCTCAAGGGATTGACTATAAAACGGAGGTGTGACTTAGTTTGTGTGGCACTTTCTCCTTTTGTTCACCCCGCAGGAAGATTTGGCCAAATAAACCTACTGAACGATCTCCTTGCTTCTGGTGTCTGATTGCATAAAGGGATCTTAGAGGTTTTGGGGGCCACTTGGGAAAAGAGGCCCCCAAAACCTCTAAGAGCCAACACTACGAGGGTCAATTGATACTACGAGGGTCAATTGATACTCTTTGGGGCCAGGTCAGTGTTGCTCCCCATCTAGCTCTACTCTCCTTCTGCTTCCTCCTTGGGTTTCGCTCTCTTTGTGCCCCCCAGGTGCCCACATCTCATTCCTGGAGGGACTTCCCTTGACCTTATTATGGGTCCAGAGGCCGTTTGGGGTTTCAGTTCTCGTTCTGGAGTCCCATCAGTCCGTGGCCTAGTTCTTCTACACTTTCAATCACTCCAATTCGAGGCAGCCTAGAAATCCCCACAGACCCCTTGGACAGAGTGTGCGTAGACCCTGGTGGCCTTGACCAAGGAGCAGAGGCAACAACATTACAGGAACCCCACGCCTATCTCTCCTGTCCTAAAACAGATCTAATCCAGTTCCGTTCTCAGGAAGATCAGAAAGTGGATGGACGGGAAGAGAAATATACGTCAGGGCATCAGTTTCCATCACAGAGGAAACCCATGTAGGCATAGAGGAAGGGCGATTTGGGTCATTAATTTGGTTATGAATTAACAAATTGTAACCGAATTAAGACCTAGGAAGAAGGGGGAAATGGCACGAATAGCTGGACCTCATTAGGGAAGATATCTACAACAACGAAAACGGATAGTCTCCATCACTTCTGGGAAAATAGAAATAGCAAACACCGGAAGTCAAAGGGTTGTTGTAGGTTTTTTCGGGCTATATGGCCATAGTCTAGAGGCATTCTCTCCTGATGTTTCGCTTGCATCTATGGCAAGCATCCGCAGAGGTAGTGAGGTCTGTTGGAACTAGGAAAATGGGTTTATATATCTGTGGAATGACCAGGGTGGGACAAAGGACTCTTGTCTGCTGGAGCTAGGTGTGAATGTTTCAACTGACCACCTTGATTAGCATATAATGGCCTGACAGTGTCTGGAGCAAACCTTTGTTGAGAGGTGATTAGATGTCCTTGTTTGTTTCCTCTCTGTTGTTGTGCTGTTCTAATTTTAGAGTTTTTAATACTGGTAGCCAGATTTTGTTCATTTTCATGGTCTCCTCTTTTCTGTTGAAATTGTCCACATGCTTCTTGTGGATGTCAATGGCTTCTCTGTGTAGCCTGACATGGTGGTTGCGAGAGTGGTCCAGCATTTCTGTGTTCTCCAATAAAATGCTGTGTCCAGGTTGGTTCCTCAGGTGCTCTGCTATGGCTGATTTCTCCGGATGAAGTAGTCTGCAGTGCCTTTCATGTTTCTTGATCCGTGTTTGGGTGCTTTCCTAGTTCCAACAGACCTCACTACCTCTGAGGATGCTTGCCATAGATGCAGGCGAAACGTCAGGAGAGAATGCCTCTAGACCATGGCCATAGAGCCCGAAAAACCTACAACAACCCAGTGATTCTGGCCATGAAAGCCTTCGACAATACCTGAAGTCAAAATTTAGTTTTTCTAAAGGCCTCTCACAATGAGAGGCAAGTTCAGCTAACCTCCAATGTTGCAGAGATCAAGACCCACCAGATGATGGCAAGTGACAGAAGCTTTATTCAATCTCCAGAAGGGATGCCGTGTGCTGCAATGGAGGCTCAGGTGGCTCAGGCCCCAATGATGTTGATGGGGATTGCCTCCCAGCTGGGCGGGGAAGCCCTACGGCCTCCAGTCAGTGGTTGGAGGACTTAGAATCATAGAATCATAGAATCAAAGAGTTGGAAGAGACCTCCTGGGCCATCCAGTCCCACCCCATTCTGCCAAGAAGCAGGAATATTGCATTCAAATAACCCCTGACAGATGGCCATCCAGCCTCTGCTTAAAAGCTTCCAAAGAAGGAGCCTCCACCACACTCCCTCCGGGGAAGGCAGAGAGTTCCACTGCTGAACGGCTCTCACAGTCAGGAAGTTCTTCCTAATGTTCAGGTGGAATCTCCTCTCTTGTAGTTTGAAGCCATGGCTCCATTGCGTCCTAGTCTCCAAGGAAGCAGAAAGGAAACTTGCTCCCTCCTCCTCCCTGTGTCTTCCTCTCACATATTTATACATGGCTATCATATCTCCTCTCAGCCTTCTCTTCTTCAGGCTAAACATGCCCAGTTCCCTAAGCCGCTCCTCATAGGGCTTGTTCTCCAGACCCTTGACTTTCTTGGAGTGGAGGTGGTTCTCAGGATGTTGCGCCCATCTCTGGACATTTGATCATTTAATCATGGAATTAGGGAAACAATGAATGTCTGGGTGAAGGAATGATGGGATTGGGCAAATGCCAAGCCCAGGGTGCTGGGGTCAATGGGTGGCAAGTCCCCAGGTCTACTTCCAGATTGGACAAACAATGGCCAGGTCCCAAAATGTCTATTGCAGTTTTTCTCAACCTGGGGGTTGGGACCCCTAGGGGGGTTGCGAGGGGGTGTCAGAGGGGTCACCAAAGACAATTAGAAAACACAGTATTTTCTGTTGGTCGCAGGGGTTCCATGTGGGAAGTTTGGCCCAATTCTATCATTGGTGGAGTTCAGAATGCTCTTTGATTATGTGTTGTTGTTCATTCGTTCAGTCGTCTCCGACTCTTCGTGACCTCATGGACCAGCCCACGCCAGAGCTCCCTGTCGGCCGTTACCACCCCCAGCTCCCTAAGGTCAGTCCAGTCACTTCGAGGATGCCATCCATCCATCTTGCCCTTGGTCGGCCCCTCTTCCTTTTGCCTTCCACTTTCCCCAGCATAATTGTCTTCTCTAGGCTTTGCTGTCTCCTCATGATGTGGCCAAAGTACTTCAACTTTGTCTCTAGTATCTTTCCCTCCAGTGAGCAGTCGGGCTTTATTTCCTGGAGGATGGACTGGTTGTATCTTCTCGCAGTCCAAGGCACTCTCAGCACTTTCCTCCAACACCACAGCTCAAAAGCATCGATCTTCCTTCGCTCAGCCTTCCCTAAGGTCCAGCTCTCACATCCGTAGGTGACTACAGGGAATACCATGGCTTTGACTAGGCAATGGATCTTTGTTGCCAGTCTGATGTCTCTACTCTTTACTATTTTATCGAGACTGGACATTGCTCTCCTCCCAAGAAGTAAGCGTCTTCTGATTTCCTGGCCACAGTCTGCATCTGCAGTAATTTTGCACCTAGAAATACAAAGTCTGTCACTACCTCCACATTTTCTCCCTCTATTTGCCAGTTATCCACCAGTCTGGTTGTCAGAATCTTGGTTGTTTTTGGATGTTTATCTGCAACCCAGCTTTAGCTCTTTCTTCTTTCACCTTGGTTAGAAGGCTCCTTAGCTCCTCCTTGATTTCAGCCCTCAAAGTGGTATTATCTGCATTTGGAGTTCAGAATGCTCTTTGATTATAGGTGAACTATAAATCCCAGCCACTACAACTCCCAAATGTCAAGGTCTATCTTCCCCAAACTGCACCAGTGTCCACATTTGGTCACATTGAGTATTCATGCCAAGTTTGGTCCAGTTGCACCAGTGCTCTCTGGATGTATAACTCCAAAACCCAAGGTCAATGCCCACCACACTCTTCCAGAATTTGTTGTTGGTCATGGGAGCTCTGTGTCCCAAGTTTGGTTCAGTTGCCTCATTGGTGGAGTTCAGAATGTGCTTTGATACTGTAGGTGAAATATAAATCCCAGCAACTACAACTCCCAAATGACAAAATAAATCCTCCCCTCAACCCCACCAGTATTCAAATTTGGGCGTATCAAGTATTTTTGCCAAATGAATGAAAATACATCCTGCATATTGGATTTTAACAAGATGGTTCATAACAGGAGCAAAATTATAGTTGTGAAGTAGCAATGAAAATAATGTTATGGTTGAGGGTCATCACAACATAAGGAACTGTATTAAGGGGTCATGGCATTAGGAAGGTTGAGAAACACTGGTCTATTGGAAGTGGCAGAGCGGTCATAGTGTTTCATGGCTTTTGTGTTTGTCCTCTCTTTCAGAGAAGCCAGGGAAATGCCCAGTTCCAAAACTAGGCACGTTTGCATTCTGTGGCCCGTGGTGCAAGTCTGATGCCGAATGCCCTGGGAGCAAGAAGTGTTGCCACTGGGTAAACTGCCAAACCTGCCTTGCTCCTGAGGAGGGTGAGTGCAATTCCTGGCCCAGGAATCCTCGTAGATCCTTGGATGGAGAGTGCTGAGTGGATGGAGATTCTGATTTAGGAGCAAAGGCACCAACGGCCTCATTCCAGGGAGTCCACCCCTGTCTTTCCTGCTTTAAAGCTGGTCTGGTCTCGCTCCCTTCTCCGAAGAGCAGTGAGAGGGTGGATGGGAAGGAAAAGAGGCAGAGAAATGTCCCTCAGGGGATCAGTCTCCATCACAGAGGGATCCGCTTGAGTGGACAGAGACACTTTGGTCATCACCATCTAATTCTTCACAGGTTTTAGCCTTGTGTCCAAGTTAAGACCAAGGAGGAAGGGGAGGGTAGAGGGAAGACATGGATTTCCTTAGGAAAGATGTCTAGAAGGGATAGGCCTCACTCACTTCTGGGAAGATAGCAATAGCCAGCATGGAGTATCTCTACAACTTCCTCCCTCCCTCCTCCTGCCTCTGATTTCCTCTTCTTTTCACAGGCTGACCTTGGAGAAGGTCTGGATCCATGGACAGTGACCACTGGAGCTCCTCTGCCCACCTCTGCTGCTCCATCCAAGTCCACATCCCACCCGGCACCCCCCCCCCTTGCCCTACTCATGAGGGTCCCATGGACAGCCACCACCAGAGAAGTCTGCTCCTCTGCCCACCTCTGCTGCTCCACCCAAGTCCACATCCCGCCCGACACCAACCCCACGTGCCCCATTCAGGGGGGTCCCAACTCTGCATTGGTATCTTCCTTCCATTAACAATAAATGGATCAGCGTCCTGCACCTCAAGAGTCTGGACTCATTTTTGGCTGATGGGAAGAGGTGGTCTCCGTTTGAATGAGGTTCAGTTGAGCAAACCTGATCTCATTTTTGCCCTGAAATCCCTGCTTCCTCCTTGTGTTTCCCTCTCCTTCTCCCCGTGCCCCCCAGATGCCCCCATCTCAGTCCTGGAGGGGCTTCCCTTGATCTTCTTATGAGTCCAGATGGCCTTTGGGGTTTCAGTTCTGGTTCTGGAGTCCCATCAGTCCTTGGCCTGGTTCTTCTCCTCTTTCAATCACTCCAATTTGAGGCAGGTCTTGTCAAGGACTCTGTGAAGTCATCAAATGCCCTGATTGAGTGGAAGGGACTCCATGAGCTCCACTTGAAGGAGCCAGGGACCTTCAGGGAGGGGCAGAGGTCTTCTCCTTCAGGAACAAGAACACGCAAACAAAGCTGTTCTTTCCAAAAGGAAGGCTTGTCTCTTTAGTTGCATCCACAGTGTGAACACAATATGCACAATATTGATGGGAAGAGTTGGTCTCCTTTGGAAGGAGGTTCAGTTGAGCCAACCTATCTCATTTTTGCCCTGAAATTGGAAGTGTACGAAACGACTGAAATCCAATTAGTAATTCTTTTCAAAGATTCCTATGGCTCCTATTGTGACTCATAAAGATTTGGAGGGGTCGTGTTCCGATTAATAATCCCAATCCCTGAAGTTTTGTCATTGCTTCGTTAAGATTTGTTCCATGAGCCACAATGGGGAAAATATCATTTTTATGGCTATTGAGATGAACCTTGCTACACCACATTTATGACTTTAAGTCTGCCAGGTTTCAGAGCATTTCGATCACCCCCAATTTTTAGGAAATTCTTACAAATCTACAAACTCTATCCTGGTCCTTATCTATATGTATTTCATTGACAGCCTAATTTCCATGCCTTGGCTATTGTACATAAAACACACACATACACATATACTACATATGTTTCATAAACTTTCCTAATCTGGCCAAAGTCACTCAATGTTTTACAATCCATTTTTAAAGCCTTCCCCAAATATCTCCTAAAGACCGGCTTTCTCAGTCTTCTCTCTCCAAAGGTTTGGTTGAGTGAATGAAATGAGTCCGATGCTGGGCACTGCCCTTGAAGGGAGAGGTTGACTCTCCGCTGGAAGGCTGTGTCCAGAGGAAGAGGGCGACTCAAAGGACCAACGGTCTGGAGAACAAGCCCGATGAGGACAGAGTGGCTTAAGCGCTGGGCATGTTGAGCCTGCAGAAGAGAAGGCGGAGAGGAGACAAGGAGAGGGCCAGGGATCAAGCAGCGAGGGGAAGTCCTAGGAAGGAGGGAGCAGGCTTCCTTTCCGCTGCCCTGGAGAGTAGGACTCAAGGAAGCCATGGCTTCAAACTACAGATTCCACTTGAACATGAGGAAGAACTTCCTGACTGTGAGAGCCGTTCAGCAGTGGAACTCTCTGCCCCAGAGTGTGGTGGAGGCTCCTTCTTTGGAGGCTTTGAAGCAGAGGCTGGATGGCCATCTGTCAGGGGTGATTTGAATGCAATTTTCCTGCTTCTAGGCAGAATGGGGTTGGACTGGATGGCCCACAGGGTTCCTTCCAACTCAATGATTCTATGGTTCTATGAGTGAATGAAGCTTGATTGATTGATTGATTTAAAAACATTTATATTCCACCCTTCTCACCCTGGCTCTGGGGAGTGAGGGCGGAGCACAGCGTATATACGGCAAACATTCAATGCCGGGACAACAATTCATTATATGCATACATAAACATTAAAAACATTTATCTCAATATTAAAATACACTGTTTAATACCGCCTTAAATCCTGCCCCATCTCCCAAAGGGACTTGGAACGACTTACAATAAAATCAAACATTTGTTGTTGTTCATTCGTTCAGTCGTCTCCGACTCTTCGTGACCTCATGGACCTGCCCACGCCAGAGCTCCCTGTTGGCTGTTACCACCCCCAGCTCGCTCAAGGTCAGTCCAGTCACTTCAAGGATGCCATCCATCCATCTTGCCCTTGGTCGGCCCCTCTTCCTCTTACCTTCCACTTTCCCCAGCATAATTGTCTTCTCTAGGCTTTGCTGTCTCCTCATGATGTGGCCAAAGTACTTCAACTTTGTCTCTAGTATCCTTCCCTCCAATGAGCAGTCGGGCTTTATTTCCTGAAGGATGGACTGGTTGGATCTTCTCGCAGTCCAAGGCACTCTCAGACTTTCCTCCAACACCACAGCTCAAAAGCATCGATCTTCCTTCGCTCAGCCTTCCCTAAGGTCCAGCTCTCACATCCGTAGGTGACTACAGGGAATACCATGGCTTTGACTAGGCAATGGATCTGTGTTGCCAGTCTGATGTCTCTACTCTTCACTATTTTATCGAGACTGGACATTGCTCTCCTCTCAAGAAGGAAGCGTCTCCTGATTTCCTGGCCACAGTCTGCATCTGCAGTAATCTTTGCACCTAGAAATACAAAGTCTGTCACGGCCTCCACGGTTTCTCCCTCTATTTTCCAGTTGTCAATCATTCTTGTTGCCATAATCTTGGTTTTTTTGACGTTTAGCTGCAACCCAGCTTTTGCGCTTTCTTCTTTCACCTTGATTAGAAGGCTCCTCAGCTCCTCCTCGCTTTCGGCCATCAGCTCCTCCTCGCTTTTCGGCCATCAAAATCAAACATAAATAATAATAAACATGTTGCAACTCAGAGTAAGCTTTGCCTTGCTTCCAAACACCACAACACAAGAGCTGTAGTTTTATAGTTTATTGAAGAAAAAGTCCAAGTCAAAATAAAGAATAAGCATTGCAAAGTTCCAAAGGTTTAGGTTAAATGCGAAATATAGTTCCAAAGATCTTCAGGTAAAAATGAAGTTCAACAGTGACAAATGCAAGATACTCCACTTTGGCAGGAAAAACGAAAAGCAAAGATACAGAATGGGGGACAATGCCTGGCTCGAGAGCAGTACGTGTGAAAAAGATCTTGGAGTCCTCGTGGACAACAAGTTAAACATGAGCCAGGAATGTGATGTGGCGGCAAAAAAAGCCAATGGGATGTTGGCCTGCATCAAGAGGAGCCTAGTGTCTAGATCTAGGGAAGTCATGCTCCCCATGCTCTATTCTGCCTTGGTTAGACCACACCTGGAATATTGTGTCCAATTCTGGGCACCACAATTCAAGAGAGATATTGACAAGCTGGAATGTGTCCAGAGGAGGGCGACTAAAATGATCAAAGGTCTGAAGAACAAGCCCTATGAGGAGCGGCTTAAGGAGCTGGGCATGTTTAGCCTGAAGAAGAGAAGGCTGAGAGGAGATATGATAGCCATGTATAAATATGTGAGAGGAAGCCACAGGGAGGAGGGAGCAAGCTTGTTTTCTGCTTCCCTTGGAGACTAGGACGCGGAACAATGGCTTCAAACTACAAGAGAGGAGATTCCATCTGAACATGAGGAAGATCTTCCTGACTGTGAGAGCCGTTCAGCAGTGGAACTCTCTGCCCCGGAGTGTGGTGGAGGCTCCTTCTTTGGAAGCTTTTAAACAGAGGCTGGATGGCCATCTGTCAGGGGTGATTTGAATGCAATATTCCTGTTCTTGGCAGAATGGGGTTGGACTGGATGGCCCATGAGGTCTCTTCCAACTCTTTGATTCTATGATTCTAAAACAAGAGGAACAATCCTATAGGAAAAGTTCAAAACAGAGTCCATGGTATAAACAGTGAAACAATTGCCCCAAGAATCACAATGCAAGAAATCCCAAGCATGCCGCTTTCCAGCTAAGGTTGTTCCATGAAGCTTCCAGGCTAACAAGCTACATTGAACTGACACTTTCCCTTCGTTTGCAAGAAGACTAAATACTAGGCTTGGGCGGTTTCGTTCGTTAATTTCGTAATTCGTTATTAATTTGTATTTAAATTAGCTTACGATCCAATATTGAGCCATGCAGGAATAGTATGAGGAGTAATTAAGAATCGAAACAATTTTTCCAATTTATTTCGTAATTATTTCGTAATTATTTTCGTAATTATTTTGTAATTATTTCGTAATTATTTTCATTTTATAGTTGTTGTTTTATAAGTTTTATAGTTGTTGTTTGTTTTATCACACCAACAGTCAACAACAGAGGGAGAGGGAAGCTTCAGAAGTTCCCCCTGTCCCATTTGGAGATGGTTTTTAGCGTTTTTTAGCGCATTACGCAATCGCGTCCGCCATTAACGAATCAATTTGTAATTTTACGAAATTTCGTATATTTCGAAATTTTTAAAAGGTAAATTTCGGAATTCTTTAAAAAAACGAAACGCAGGGGCCCCCTAAAAACGAAACGAGTTTAGTAACAAATTTTTCCGTGGTTACCCAAGCCTACTAAATGCCTTTTGCTAACAGGAAAACATTATGCTCTCACCAACATGAAAGCATTGCGATGACCTTTCCCTGAGCTGTCTTCTTGTCTGCTGGCTAGGAGAGAACTCCACCTGACCTGCAAATCAAGATGGGTTTGCTGGGTCAGGTCACTATCAAGGCTTTCTGCACTTTCACTATCAGCGTGGGAAGGCAAAGGCTATCTGTTCGCTATCTACTTCGTTAACATTCTTTTCTTCTGAGAACCTCTGTGTTGACTCTGCACTGTCTATGGGAGCCTCAAAAGCAGGCCCAGGGATCTGAGGCACAGAAAAAGAGCCAGGAATCTGAATCCCATCATCCTCATAATCAGAGAACATCTCAGGCCCAGAATCACGCTGAACCACAACAAAACACATAACAAGTCAAACAATTCAAATCACCAAAATTACAATGAGTCATAATAAATAAGATGGAATATATGTCACAATCAGTATAAAACTATGTGAAAGTTAAGCACATCTATGCTCGATCTATGCTCCAGTTCTGTGGAACTCATTGCCTCCATATATTAGAGCAATGTCGGAGTTGCAACCTTTTGTAAAGGCGCTCAAAACTTGGCTGTTGTTGTGCATTTAAGTAAAGTGATCAGATCTAATTTGCCAAATAGTCACTGTTGTA